CCGCACTGGCGGTGGCCGAGGCGGCTGGGGCCGATGCAGGTGATTGGGCTAAAGTGGTGGTGGAATGGGAGGAGAGTAGTAGAAGAAGTGAGAGAGAGAAGAGTAGTGGACGTGGATGATGCTTCATGGTCATGGTCACCATCTTTTGGTGAGTGGAGTGAGGAGGGTGTGGTGAGAATGGAAGGGTGGTCCTTGAAGTGAGTGCTTGATTGTGGGGTGATGATGGAGGGAGGGAAATATATGGAAAGCTGAAAGGGGGTTTGTGTATGTTTGAGTTAGGTGGAATGTTTCTTTAGAAAGTTCAGTTGTTAGCAGATCTGCGTGCTTGCACATCAATGAAAGGTGGTGTGTCATGGAGATGCATTACTTGGGAAGGCAGGAAAAACAGTGAGATCTCTAAGAAGGGGTGTGTGTGTGAGAAAATAAATAAATAAATAAATGAAGATCATATATGATAGCGTAGCATTCACTTGTTATTCTTGTGAAGTAGCAAAACAATCAAGTGCTAGCGGCTAATTTAAGGAATGAGTCCTTAATTAACTTTTGTGAGACAATTTGATTATGTTTGATGATGCATTTGATTTGGGTGAGTAACTGGGTTTGGATGTTAGCCTCTGACCTACGATTTTCTGTTAGTGCTACTTTGATCGGTATTAAATGCTAGTGGGACTCCTGAATTTGTTGATTATACGATTGCCTTTCTTAGTGTTTGATGGGGGAAGAACGACGGTTTAACACACGATTATTATATGCACTAAGCCGATAGAAATTTCTCTCGTTGTGATCGGGCTTCTAAAAAGAATGTTGAATGCAATTTCGTGAAAAACGAACGATGGCTATTTTAAGTCACAATTGAAAGTTTTTTACCAAATACATCAAATGATCAGGTAAGAAATCTCGGGAAACTTGAAATTCAAAGTCATATTTATGACCTACGTGTGTAAAGTCATCGTGCCATCAGACCACGGGATTTGAAACTTCGAATATATTTTAAAATTACCAGAAGCTACTACATTCCGAAATACGCACTCTAACCTGATCTTTCACGGTATCAACTATTAATCTATTATGTTGTGTCACAGACAATTATTTGATTATGTCTATAGCTTGTAAGTTGAGAGGTTCACTTCAAGGTAATAGTTTTTCTGCATTCTGGAAATCGGATAGAGACAGCCATCACCATTGACATTTAACAATCTCGTAATCTAGAACATTGTATACGAACCTCCCTTTCGGGTTTTGGTCGGACATCAACGTAGCTTTGAATGCTAGGCTAGATTAGAGCCAATACTTTATGATAACATGTGAGAGTGTTCACAGGGACTCCAACTTAATTAGATAAAACGTGTTTAATCACAGGGTTTTGCGTTTTGTGGATCTCAAGAATACGAATACATATGGGATGCTAAAAAAATTTTAAAAAGTAAAAGAGTGCGCATTAATACATTATGGTGGTTCACAAGAATGCTAATTTCAGGTTCTGGAGAATTTTTGCTGAGCCTTTTCACCACTTAGAATTAAGGAAGCCATAACTAGCAACATCATATTTCTGATTTATCAAACGAAAACTAGTTTTCCTATAAATAAAAAAACCAAGAGAAAAATAAATAAAAGAAATGTATTTCCTTCATGCTGGAAAATTGAGGATACCAAACAAAGAATAATTTTGGTAGAGGGTTTTGAAACTCCAATGCTAAAAATTTGGCCAATCCAATTATAACACAGATTATGGTTCAGATCTGTATTTTCCGCACTTCCTGACGTTATGAAATATTGTTGAATTACTATAAATTGGTATTTCCCTCTTACCCTCAAAATGACAATAGCCATCCAAAGATTAGGCATAACAAAGGAATGTACACCATAATGCATCCCAGAAGCAACTGAACTCATTTTCTAAATTAGTGAAAGCCAAAAAGTTTACGCCATTGTTGAACGAGAGAACTAGGAGGAGGAAAGTGATCAAAAGTCCAAAACAATTGTTTGGAAGTTTTAAGGAGGGGAAAAGAGTGAAGAATCAAGCGAATCAGAAAAAGGGGGCGAAGCAATTGGGGTTGAGTGAAGCAATTCTCACCCTCCCAATTTTCACAAAGCCGCAGTCAAAATCCCCCTCACATTGGTGGGGGGGGGGGGGG